GGGGGGGGGGGGGGGGGGGAAGAAGAGAGAAAGGGAAAGGGAAAGGGGGAGAAGGAAATCAAAACAGAAATTTCTTCAAAACTTAGTAATAGCTGGTAACACATTTTCTTTAGAGTGACTGAAACAGGGATATATACTACTTTAGCAGGAATTCCAATACTTTTTTTTGTATGCTTGGTTTTGGGTCTCACTAGATTATTTCAAAAGCTGGACAAAGTTTTTTTCCTCAGGCTACATAAAAAGGACACTGGGTTAACTGGGCCAGGGGTATGTGGGCCAGGTGATGCAACAAGTCACTTTTTCTTTGAAAAGGCAGCACCTCTACAATTTTTCGAAGTTTTATTTAGGTCTGTCATCTGAGACCAGGCACAAACTGAAGTACGGGATACATGCACAAACCCCTCTCAATCCAGAATTTTTACTTCTTGTGTTAATATCTGTTGTATTGTATAGAGTTGCAATACTGCATAAGAGGGGGAAAACTCGACAGTTAGAAGTGTACCACTCTGAGATCCTTCTAAATGTAAGGGACTATACAAATTAAAAAGATATTATTACCTTATGCGTCTGGTAAATGATGATTGCATTATCAGCTAGGGTTTCCACAACATGGAAATTTTCTATGGTTGCTAAAAACAGAAGAATTAGATCCGTGTATAAGCCCAAACATACAGGTCAGAAAGGGTTTAAACTATATTCAGATTAACAGCAACGCAATTTAAGAATAAGATTCCTTACTTTCCCAGTCATTACGAACATCAACATTCCAGAAGTAGTGGCAGACTTCATGCCCTGTGACTCCTTTGACTGCATGTGTGGCCTTCAGAGGATCTAAAACTATTCCATTTTCTTCTACTTCTCTTCTGTAAACCTTTGGGCAAATACAAAAAATTGGTGCAAAACAATTTGAGTGAAGAGGCCAAAAGTGCTTTGAGTTTTATATGTGCTTCACTTAAAGACTTTGCTTTGGCAGCCCACTTAAAGATCCCTTTACCTAAAACAGGAAGGCAATGGAAGATAAGTGATTTCCCTCTGCAAACAACTAAAATGTTCAGCGTAACATATATAAAATATAAGGTACTTTAAATAATGAAAAAGCCATAGTTCTTGTGGACTTCAATTCTAAAATCTTAATCTAAAACAGCTCAGTTTTAAATTAAATAGGATCACTGCTAGAGTGAGCTGCTTCTCAATAAGGATATTAGAATTTAGTCTTACATCAACATTACGCAAAAAAATGCCATCTGAGTTTACACTAGTTCATGTTGATTCAGAAAAACACATTTTTACGTGAACCTAAGATGACTCTAACTTTAAGACGACCTCCCAGTACATAATTCTATACATTTGAAATTATTATAAATTTTCCACATACAGAATCTAATTATTGGAGGACCATCTTTAATTCATCCCTCCCCTTGCTGTAGGGCAGGGGTGGGCAAGATGCGGCCTGCCAGGCCATTCTATCCAGCCCTCAGGGCCCCTAAAAAAATTTAGAGAATTAATATTTATCTGCCCCTAGCTGCCTGTCCTGCAGCCCTCAATGGCTTGCCAAAACTCAGTAAGCGGCTCTCTGCCCAAAATAATTGCCTGCCCCTGCTGTAGGGGGACAGGCAGAAGGGAGGCAGATGGTGTGGGGAGGTCAAACAGCTTGCCCCTGCCTCCCCTACAGCTTCTGCTCCATGCTCATAGGCTCCACCCCCATTTTAGTTGGAGGCACTAAGCATGGCCCTGTGGCAGTTGTGTGGGCTGTGTGCCACTGTCACAGGGCGAGGCTCAGTGCCCTAGGTTGCAGCGTAAATGGAGCCTGCCAGTGCAGAGATAGGGTTGGAGAGGGAGGGGGAAGGGATGGTGGGGTGCAGAAGCGGTAGGTGGAGGCAGCAGCTGTAGATGTGGCCCCAAACCTGGAATCCAAGCTGCAGCAGCTGCCTGCCCCCCCACCCATACCCTGTTCTAAGACAATGGGTCCCCCCCTCCCCATGTTAAATGGGAAAAAACTCAGAATCAAGTAAAGATGGTAATAAAACAAACTTATTTTATTTACCTTCATTTCACCCTCTTCAACTACTAGTTGCCAATTGGCATCTCCTCCTACATCCTGTAAAGAGTAAGTCATGTGGTTCTGCACCATCTCTTCCACCTATGGAGGAAAAAAATTGCAAGATTTATTTCAAATGCACCCCTACCATTCTTTGGATACAGCATACAAGATGCTATACAGGATCATAAACAAGTATAAGGATGTATAAAGTTGTATAGTTAAACAACAGTATAATCTTACAAATCGGATCTTAAAAATCCAGCACTTTAAGTTTCCCCCTTCGCTCCCCCAGACGTGGAGGGGGAAGTTTGCATGCATCAGTTGCCACTTCCATCCACCACCTCACACTGTCGCTCTGTGTGTGGCTGCTGTTTTGGGACCGCCTGCCACTCCCCTCCACAGAGGGGAAAGCTTGCACGCTGCTGCTCCCACCACCATCCACCACACTGCTCCACATGCAGCCACTGCTCCGGGACTAGGTGCCACTACTGCCCAGCTCCCCCTCGGCCCGCTTGCTCCACAACAGGCCACTTCTCCGGTTTAAAAAAAACGAAACAGAATTTTCAAATTTCTGGCAGGTGCTTGGTCCCAAGCATGCTGTATTTATGAGGTTACATTGTACTAGCAATAGATCCTTCCACAGGTATTGACTTAAGTATGTGAATACACATACCTATAATTATATGAGGTCCACACCTCCATTCTAAATTTTTTAGGGGTCCACAAATCAAAAAAGTTTGAAAACCACTGCTATATTCTTTGACCTCCGTTTCCCCACAAATTCTCCAAACATGTATTTCTCATCTTATAAACCCCTAAAATAAGAGAATGCTTTCTTATTTCTATTTCAACATGTAAGATGTACTTAGATACATAAACAAAAGGGGCCACTATAGATCTATAGATAAACAGAACTAAATTACTTTAGAAAAGTTAAATGCAAGTTAACAAGCTGAGCAAGAGGCAAACAATTCTATTACAACTATTAATTTATTTTCTTTTGGAAACTTAGCTTTTATATGTACTACATAAGGGAAAGCCTACTGAGAGTTAAAGTGTACACCTATTTTGCATTAGCTGTCAAATTTTTAAATGGCACCCCGATGTGCTTCCAATTTAAGAAGAAACACTGCCAATTTGCTTAAGCCCAAACAAGTTTGTATCGCATAAAACTAAGAAAGGAGTTACAGAGCAGACACGGGCTTGTTCATGGCTTACTTTCCCCACAATTTAAAAAAAAAAAAAATCAGTTTGCTGTATGAGAATGATCAACTTCTTTATATTATACACCCATTTTTATATTTCAAGTTACACAAATGCTACAAACATTCCTTATACCAGAAGGAAAAAGCTTCTTTTAATGGATAGTGGGGGTATAATCCTTTTAAAGTTAATAAATGCTTCTAAAACTTGTTCTTTAACCTTAAACACATTCAGACTATTTGTAAGTGCGATAAGTCTGGAAAAAAAAGATATTAAAGTGTTACAGATGCAGCAGATACTTTGTATTATGGTAGAAAAAGCATCTCCCATTTTTCATTTATAGCATTAAAAATTGGGTTAGTAGAAGATGTAATGTTACAGCACAGACTGCTCAACATGATTTACAGGGTTTGCTTGAATCCTGCAGTGGTGTAGAGTAAAGAATGAGTATTGCTTGAAAAAAAAAAAAGTCTTAAATAAAAAAGTTAAAGACAAATTATGATATATTTCTGAGTGCAGAATCAGGTTAGCAGCCTATGGCTGTAAGTGTCTTGCATAGAATTCAGAGTTTATACACAAAATGTCTAGACATATTCCCTGTCATTTGGAAAAAAAAATCAAAAAAAAAATAAAAAAAATCAAGCATATCACTTTAAGTAGAGAAAGGAGTTAAAGAGTCTTCACTGATGTTGAGTTTCTAATTTGCTATGAAACTAGAAAGGATGCATTTAAAATTAAACAGACTGCTTTTGTTCATACTCCATACTTTTTGGGTTGTACACTCAACATTAGAGTAGAGTAACTGCAGCCTGAACCAAGTTCCTCAAACATACCACATTGCACTTAGCTGTAGCTACATTTTAGGGGCACACCGCTAGAGATTTTTTAGGCCAATACTGATCCAATTTCCAATACCAGCCAGGTAGCCTGGAGACCTGAATGCAGCTGGCAAGTCTGTTGTGGTAGAAGGGGAGGAGGAAGGGAAAGGCGGGGGGGCAGATCAAGGCTCCCGCAGGGAGGGAGGAGTGGAGCTGCGGTGGGCGCAGGACAGAGCTGTGGCTCATCCTGGGAGACACAGGCAGGGACAGCTCCTGCCACCATGCACCACTGGTTCAGTGGCTCATCTGCTGCTTACCTGCTCATTCAGTGACTCCCACCGCTCGTCTGGGAGGGCATGGGGTAGAGGGGACTATGTACCCCTGGATCTGCGCAGGGTAGGCTGGGCCAAGCTCTTCCCGGATGGGCGAGCTAGGTTTGGGTTGGGCGGCAGCAGCGCTGGGAGTGGGGCTATTGGGGGGGGGGGAAGCTGCAGCCACCCCAAAATTTGCTGTAGGGCCCCCCACATAGCTCCTTCCCAGCACTGCTGCCCAGCCCACCTGGGAAGAGCTTGGCGCAGCCCCAGCCCCAGCCAGTCCTGCACAGATCCAGGGGCATATGCCCACTCCCACCCCGGTGCCCTCCCAGACAAGCGGTGGGAGCAGCAGCAGGAGCTGCTGGACAAGGTGAGCTCCCAGACCAGCAGCTCCCAGACGAATGGTGCGTGGTGGCAGCGAGAGCTGCCTCCCACACCCCCCCCAGACAAGCCGTGGCTCTGTCCCACACCAGCTGGGCAGCCCTTGCCCCAACCCCACTCCTCCCTCACTGTGGGGGTCTTGATCTTCCCTCCAATGCCCCTTCCCTTCCACCACAACAGACTTAACAGCTTGAGGCAGCTCTCCACACTGCTGGTCTGTGCTCCTCGTTGCCTGTGCTACGCTTTGGCTACGCGCATGCACGGGCCATTTCTGATATAGACATTTTTCTTTATATCGGTTCAGATCTGATATTGGATCAGTGTATCGCTGCACCTCTACTACATTTTATGGAACTACAATATTTAAGGTGAGTTTTACTTTTATTTTTTGCAGATTTTTTTTCCTGTGGAAAGAGAATGAGCATCTTTCATGACTCAAGAGACTGGTCTTTTGGTTAAAAATTAAACTTACAAAAAATTGCTTCATTTACTTTCCAATTTTAGGCCAGGTGTCCCTCTTTTAGACAGTGGCCAGCAGAATCACTATTTGCAATTTCTTCCTTTCTTTTTTGCTGATATTATCTACAAATTTTCTAAGCAGACAGAGCTTTTAAGTACAGGTCCTCTGAAATGACTGGACACCAGAGAAACAACTGATTAATAATTAATGGATACAAAAATGTAATTCTTCTAAAGCAGGATGTCAGAGATCCAGCCCAAAACCTGGATCTGGTCCATGGAGCCATTCCATCTGGCCTGACAGTCTACTACAAGTTGGGGGACAGGGTACAGAGGTATGGTTTGCTGCAGAATTTGGGGCTTCTGCAAAATGACAGAGATGGCTATTGGCAGCATAGCCTACTCAGCATGTGGTCACTTGGCCCTCCTGCTGCCCCAACTGTTCTGGATCCCTGCTTTACCTGCCACTCCTGTCCCACCCCAACTCATTGCAACTGCTGATCCCGTAGATCTAGTCCCAGAGAACCTCTGCAGTCTGGATCTGGCCTGGGCCCCAGGGCAAATTTGACACCCCATCCTAGGCTGCTTACACCTGCTTAAATGATCTGTGAGAATTCTTCCAGGTTTGTTTTTCTGGTAGAAAAACTTATCTAGAAACCCCTGAACAGATGCTTGAATGCCG